GGTAAAACAGCCTGAACAATAAGGACTTGTTGGACTACTCCTGCATTTCCTTTTCCTTTTGGCAAAAATATGAAGCTTGTTCAAATCTTGTTCCCCTATTTTATACCAAGGGTTCGGCCTAGTGGTTAATGAGGTGGGGTGAGAATCATGAGGTCTTAGGTTCAAATCCCAGCGAAGGCAAAAAAAACCCTAGGTGATTTCTTCCTAACCTAAGCCTTGATGGGCCAAGTTACTCGGTTCCCGTGCTGGTAGGAGGTGGCAGGTAGCTAGTGGAATAGTTGAGGTGTGCGCAAGTTAGCTTAAAAACCACCGTTGTAAGAAAATAAGTAGTTGTAGAGATTTACCTCAAAGGAGAAAAGGAAAAAGGTTCATTTATTCCTTTTGTTTCAAGAGTTATTGCTTGTGTACACCATTAAGAAATAAGATAACTGCAGAATAACAGGAAAGGATTTCATTTGTGATTTGTATGCCTAGACCTTATCTCTTTTCTTGTCCATTTTCTAGAAGAAAAATACGGACGAAATTAAATAGTTAAAGATTCTGTCTTTGTCCTCTCCTTCAATTACATGTTAAGTTTTCTACTTTTTATGATATAGTTTTTTTCTGAAGTTTACGATCTAATTTATATTGCTGGATGTGGATGAGTAGCTATTTGGTTTCTACTTCTCAGCTCAGTTGCTGATTTACATCTGCAATGCTTCTGGTATTCTGCTAGTACTGAACTTTGTTTTTATTTCCTTAGCAACTCGCTTCACATGGGTTGTTCGATGTGCATGTAAAAGCAACTGGGGACATTCACATTGATGACCACCACACAAATGAAGATGTTGCACTTGCCATTGGAACTGTGAGTTCTCGAGGAGCTTATAATTCAGTAATTCAGAATCCCATGTGTTCGTTCCATGTCTTGGTCTCTTTACTCAATTTTATCTGAGATTGGTTGCGACATCTCGTTTTGACGGAGAGGCTTGTTTACTTGCTTGTGTCACTCCTCATTGTGTGTGGCATTCCTTAGTTTTTTTTCTCTTTAGAGCCTTGACTTCTACTTTGGGTGACTTCTATATTTTGATTATCAAGGCGTTGTTGCAAGCACTTGGTGATAGAAAAGGAATCAATCGATTTGGTGACTTTTCAGCTCCATTAGATGAAGCACTGATTCATGTTTCACTGGTAAGTGATAACCTTATGGGAATACTAATTTTATTCCAGGGCAGTCATGTATGTTGTCAGATATTCTCTGTCTGAAGTGTAAAGATTATCAGCCTTTTACACTATCACAATGATAACTAATAGACAGCCCTACTGTTATCTCTAGTCAGAATTTTTACATACTTCCACAAAACAAGGTCTATACTTTCTTCTTTATTTCACATGGAATGTGGTTTCTTGGAACCACAAAACTACCTCATAAAATCTTCTATTTTTCTTTATTGAAATATGACTATTCACTGATTAGACAAGAATAATATTTGCTCCGGTGTAGGAACAACTATTGTCTTTGGTTTTAGATCTTGATCTTTTTATGCAGACGGGTTGCTAGGAAAAAGAAGTTGAAAACAGCCCCATTGTGTTTTGGTTCTTATGGAGGGAAAGAAATTGTAGGACTTTGAATTTACACAAAAATTGAAAAAACTCTGTTGTTTTAGTTGTACTTATGATATAAAGAGGAAATTCCTGTTTGTATAAATAGTTGGTTAAATTTAGGGGGTATAATGCATAACTATATATAGTATTATTTTGTAACAGCCACACGAGATATTAGGAAAATGTCATGATATATCAAATAAAATCATATTGATCTATTTATGCTCATAATCTGCACGTGTATTAACTATTTTATATTTAATTTATATAGGATTTATCAGGAAGGCCATATTTGGGCTATGATTTACAAATACCTACTCAGAGAGTTGGAACATATGACACTCAGGTTTGTCTAATCTTCTTATTCTACTATGAACAGGGTCAGTGTCTCCAAGTTCCTTCATCATTTAACTTCAGTTGTGAATGAGCATTTGTTTCTAGTATAGTAGATTGAAGATTTTCTCTGTCTCCAGTATCAGATAGGTTTTCTCCATTGCTACCACCTGTTTGAATTTGGTTAATCAAATATTAGCTTCTAGGTTTTGATCAAATCTGATGCTAGAACCTTTTCATCCCTCTATTAATGTATATAACAAAATTTAGTTTGTGTACTAGGTTCATAGTAGAACCATCATATTGTGGTTTTGGATTCAGATTGTTTAATGTATGAATGTTGGATTTTGGGATGGTATAAATATTAAGTAATAATTTTACTATTAATAAAGTATATCAGTTCAAAATGTCCAAAGATAGAGCATGTGTCAACATCATGTGTACATGCCGAGTACTTTTACAACTAATTGTTACTATAGTTAAGAAAAGAAACAAATTGTATGCCCTTTTGGCCATAAAACATTAATTGTTTAAGCTGTGTAAGTTTTCGTTCATTTCTATATCTATTCTTTTTGGATCCTGCTGATTTGAATCACATTATTATGCTTAGCTGGTGGAACACTTCTTTCAGTCTTTGGTCAACACTTCTGGAATGACGCTCCATATTCGACAGGTAAATTCTTTTATGACCTGTTCAGGGGGTTTTGGGGTGAGGGGGTTTTTCGGTTTTTTTTTTTTTTTTTTTTTTTTTTTTTTTTGTCGCTTATTTTTCTGCCCTTCTTCTTTACTCTGGTTTTATACTCTTTATACTAAGATGTTGAATTTGTCTGGTCACAGCTTGCTGGAAAAAATTCTCATCACATCATTGAGGCAACTTTCAAGGCGTTTGCTAGAGCTCTTCGGCAAGCAACTGAATATGACTTGCGTCGTGGTGGAAGTGTGCCCAGGTTTGGTTATTTTTCCTTTCCTTTAAGTTTTTAAAACGGCTTATAATGTGTCAGTATCATCAGGTTATTGTTTAGGGGTGTTCAGTTTTAATTTCCCTGTAAGCTTGTAGTACTACTTGTAATCGAACAAAATCATTGGGCTTTAATTGTGTAAATAAATATTTTCTTCCTTTCTTCAAGTTACCATTTCTGCACCGCTTAGATTCATTAGAGCTCCTTTCCTTACATCAACCACCAGCAGTTTACACATCACCCAAAAATCCTTTTATATTCAAACATGATCCCAGTAGACATACATGTCACAGACACACATGATTATGGGAACTGACGTGTTATGAAAGAATGGCAATTTACTTTGATTTCTTTTTTCTGAACCTCAATTGCCTCCTTTTTATTGGTGCAGCTCTAAAGGGGTTTTGTCCAGATCGTGAAATATCTATTTACGCAAAGATTCAGATTCTTTGAGTGAAGGTTGGTTCAGTAGTTTACTGCACTGCTGTTCTGCAAGGTATATCATGATTACTGAAGCCTTGTCGCAGAAGAAGATGGATCAATATGCACCAGACGCTTCTCTAGTTCTCTTTCAAGAAATTGTTTTGATATCTACAAATGCTACAAGATGAAAGCAGGCAGCTACTTTCAGTATTTCAGTTTTTATGTATGAAATGTTGGAGGTTTGACTGGTGATGGAGGCATTATGCTTTTGTTTGGTTGTAATCTATTTTATTACCAGAGGTCATTTGTACTTTCGTGAAGAAAGATTGCTTCTGTTCTTTTAAGTTGCCTATTACAAGGGTGATATTTTAAGAGGATATATGAATGAGCACAATAAAAGGTCTCTCTCTCTCTCTCTCTCTCTCTGGAATGTATAGAGCAATCTATTCCAGCCAAACATGAGATGTAACTTGACCCTATGCTAAGTCCAAGCAATTTTTTTCTGTATTTTGTGGTTACATGCAACTTTGAGCTTTTCATATGTTCTGCATTTTCATAATTTTGATTTTGGCTTTAATCAAAATGTGAGTGCTTCATACAGTATGTGAGAAACTACAGTCAGCATGGCGATGTATACTCTTTTTGTTCCTTGATAGTAACAAAATGAAAAACAGATACAAAGGGATGTGGATTGTGTTGTCTCGGATACTTGAACGTAGTGGTTTTGGTATAATAGAACATGGACTTCATGTGGGGTGGGGTGGGGTGGGGGTGGAATACAGGCGTAATGGTAATTGTTGCAGCTTGTGTGATCAAGAAGTCGAGGTGCAAGCCGTAGAGACAACCTCTTGTAAAGTTGCGTACAATAGATATCTTGTCAAGCAAGAGCTTAGTGTATTGGTCTTTATTGTTCGAGCAAATATTATTTAAGACTGTCGACGTGCCATGAATTGGTTTACTTGCTTTAGTGAAGGGCTTCAATAAATTGAGTGGTGACTGGATTACTCACCTTTAACATTGCAGATTACATAATATATTTTATATCAGAGTTCTTTGAAAGTAGGTTGCATAACATGCATTCATGGTTACGCCCAAATGAAACCTTTGAATTGAGGAACCTTTTATTGTATTCGGATAATATTCCTTTCTTTTAGCCTGTTTGGCCAATCTTTCTCAAGAGGCCAAAAACACTTTTTTTTCCTAACTTATATAGTGACTTTAGGGGTGAATGCTTTCTAATATATAGTGACGTTAGGGGTGAATGCTTTTATATTTGTTGAATGATTTTTAATATATTTAACTTATATTAAAAGAATTAAGTACTTTTAAATTTTATTTTCATATTTTACTTAAATAAAATGAAAAGATTTAATTATTGCATGTAATAACAAATTTCTAAGATTATTTATTTACTTATAATATTAACTATTAAGCAAATCTATTCATGTCCTTATTTGTAATTTGATACTTAAAAACACTTATTGAAAAACTTGGCCAAACACAAATTATTGTTCAAAAGTGCTTTTGAGAGTGATCTGCAAAAGTACTTTTTTCAAAAGCACTTCTCAAAATAAGCTGATTTCTCCAGCTTTGTCAAATAGGCTATTTGTCTAGTGTCTATTTGTCACAAAATTTAGGTCACATTTGGAACAGATGGTTTGGTCACCAACATCAAACAAAATATCATTGCGACAGGGCTGATGGAAAGAAGGGAAAAAAAAAACAAATGCAATCAAAAATACTACAATAAAATGTATCTTTATCAAATAGACTACATTAGTTGAGCATGTCCTCATATCTCACTCAAAAAGAAAGGAGTGTTCACTCGTGAGAATCGTGCAACAGAAGATACTATATCACATTAACCTCTTTTAATATGTAAATCAAGAACCATTTTAGAATGTATTTTTTTAAATAGTGGTGTTTGTCCCTATCCGAGTCAGCTTGCGTGCACCTTGAATATACCCCATGTTACAATGCTTCTTCTGCTTTATTCAGATCATCTAAGATCTCTAGCTTTATCTCTTCTGGAAGTGGAGCAGATGGGCCTGCCTTTGAATAAAAGCTGGCCAAAGATCTAATAGCTTTCTCTAGCATAACATATGACTCCTGCAAGTACAGTACTATGTCAAAACAATGACCAGATGCAACAAAACTGGGGAAGACATGGATGTGTTTCAACTCTCAAATATTTATGTTTCCACTACAGGAGGACAACCCCCCTAAACTATAACTTTTAGTATTTTGCAGGCTAGAGTAGATTGATGCATAAAATCATCAGCATGTCAAGAATTATATATCATGTGGAGTCTTCAGCTGGGTGTAGACAAGTGCGGTCATGACAAGACTCGAGGAAGAAGCCCCAGCCTAAGTTGCTCGGACTCGGGTGCTGTGTCCGATACAGGTGCGGATTTAGAGGTCGAATCTTTCATGATCTAAATTTTAAGATTCAGGGGTACGGATCCAGATACGGGTACGGGTGTGGTGATTCGGCTAAAATAATTCAAATATCTAAAAATATAGTTATAAAAATATGTTTAAATTATGAGACATTATATGGAAAACTTACAAGGTATTCCGAGAAGGAGAAAATATTGATCAAGAGGAGAATCCGAGAAGGAGATAAAAGGAATTGGACTCACATATAAATTTTTATATACAAGGTATTCCATTTTCTTCGATTTCACTCTAGATAGAAAGGTGTGGAGGTCGAGCACTAGAGTTGTAGGTTAGAGGGTAGTCAAGCGTTTTCCCTCGTTGTACCGGCTAGTCTGATAGAGTTTTGTCTAAGACTGCTAGCAGTTTTTGTTGTGTGCACACTATTTCTCTCGTTTTGCATAGTATGGGGTTGCTTGTTGTCTCTTTCGATGTTGATTATTATTTTTTTGGTTTCTTTTGTTGTTACAGATTTATTCTTGTGTTCTTTTCTAATATTATTGTCTCGTATGTTAAGCTGAGGGTCTTCCGGAAACAACCTCCCTATCCCCCTCCCCCCGAATATAGGTAAGGTCTGCGTACACTCTACCCTTCTCAGACCCTACTAGTGAGATTCTACTGGGTGGTTGTTGTTGTTTGTCACTCTAGCATTTTTTAAACCGAATTCTCCATCGATTTTGGTCAAAATACCCAAAATCGGTGGACCAAATCCAGTACGGATCCCACACCCATGTCGTGTCGACACAGGTGCGGCACCGAAAGTGAAGAGTCCGAGCAACTTAGGCCCCAGCTAACTCCATGCCAGCAGCCGCAGCAGAAAGGGCGCAACTATTCTTTGGAATGACTGGCGTAGGTCCATGAAAGTAAAGGATTTTTACTAATTGATAAGGTTATATCACAAGATGTTTTGACTTCTTTCAGACAGTTGATTTGCACAAACTCTAAAGCTATTGCAACTGATGAGTTAGTGATGAAAGAAGACAGTAATTCTTGCAAAGGTGCATCAACAACCAGATTTCTTCTGTCTTCTTTTCTGCAATCTGTGCTCTAGCACTGCCAAACTCAAATGCATAATTGAATTGGAAGAGCATGCTCCCACGCTACAATAGTTTTTGGCGCCGCAAACGTGACTCTAAAATGAGAAAACAGCCACTAGAAATCTTTCTAGCTCTGCTAGCTAAAGAAGTGCGAGAACCATTTACTGAACAGCAGAATTTTAAAAAACGTACAGGTAGATGTTTGAGAAGAAATAATTTCATTTCAAGACATTATGCAAGGTAAAATTTGGAGTTACTCTGACTTTAATTTGTTGATCATGGAGATCTAAAAGGTGCTCTAGAAACAAGAAATAAACTTTGCACTGTCGACGAATTATAACAACCACCTGAGAAGTCGAGGTTCTATGAAATTGAAATTTGAAGTTATTATGTCAGGCGAGCCTCTTCCTTAGCCAACAGGAAATATTTTCCAAAATTGCTGTGTATATTTGGAAACAATGAATCCATAATATTGCACAAAGTAATACAACTTTTCAATGAGCTACAATGCAATAACATTCTACTTTTTGTTTGTTGAAAAAGGATTACCTCATTGACTACTGATTTTTGTCCTCTCCATCCACCTAGGTATTCCCTGATGGATTCCTTTGCTGCATCAGCTGTTCGTCTAAACTTAGACATGTCGTTCGGGTCTTCCTTTACTGATTCACGCAATGTCGTCACCACCTCTCTTGCAGATTTCAAGTAATCCTTTGGTAAAACTTTTCCTGACTTTGTTTTCTCATTTGGATCAAACAAGGACTTAATAGCCCCAGCCACACCTTCATCCTTGTCTTGAAACTCTTCATCCTTTGCGCAAGCTGGTAGCACCGTTAAGCCGCAGTTGAATGCTATAAGTGTAACCAAAGGACTAACAAGAAGCTGGCGCCGAGTTGCTTCTTCTTTAGATGATAATATACCAGAACTCTTTGATTGTAGTGTATCTGTTTTGTTGAACAGAATTGCAACCAGGAAAAGAAAATTGTCAAGAATGAGGAACGATTCAATCATGATATTATGTAGATAAAGTACTCATGTGAGGTCTATAGATGTCAAGGACACAGCACAATATAAGACGACGAAGAAGAAAAATCTGACTAGACATCAAAACAACCTCATGATGATTGAGAACGAAAGAGACAAGTAAACCTAAAAATAAAGCTAAGACACACTTAGCTGTTCTCCTTTGGATATAATAAGAAAAAAGGAAGGAGCATGTTCACAGAACAGAAGTCCTAGTACTATTATCATCTATCTGTTAACAAAATTTTCTTCCTTAGTTTTGCTTATCCTATGTGTCTCCAAACTCAACTTAGTTCGCCAGTCCTTCACTCGCAAAACAAGTCTAATACCTTATCCCTCTAGGTAAGCTACCTATTCCTCAGTCAACTGTAGGCTATAACCGTTGAATTGTTGCAATCAACGAGAATGGTCACAGACTATATCAGATCAAAGACTGAGAATATGTGCAAATGGAATACTAGTTATGCAATTACAATTAAGACATGCATTACATAATAAGAAATGACCAAAGACAGTTGGATTACACTGCCTTACTTTCGACCAGATGGACCAGCTCCTGGGATGGGGGTTCCTGTTTTACAGAGAAAACTGCAACTTAAAGAAATTCTATACTAGGTTCCCATATTCATCGCCCTTCCTATTTGTTATAGGATTCGAACACTGTCATGATAGTGCATGTATAACGTGCTATCTAGAGTTACCTATAGTTATAGGTCAATTTAACTTGATGGCATAAAAAATCTATACAGTGTTAGTGCTACTAACAGAACTTAAACTCGCTGTTAAAAACATCAAACATGCAAAAACGCTTACATTCGTCACTGTCTTGAGTCTTCTTAGTAGAGCTGGAAATGGAAAATGGACAAACATTCATCGGAATAAAGAAAGCCATCCTAACTCAAGCTACCCCCTAAATATCAGAAGAAACCTTCATAAAATAAGAACCAAGTCAGAGTCATAAGCTAACTACATTATCAAAAAGAAAGAACAAAGAATCATTAGCTAATTAATCCAAATTAATACATATAAACTGATTTTGAAACAACACTTCTCATTTAGCAACATGCAAAGTTAATTTTTCCAAACTCCATCCATTAATGTTAACAGGAATACCAATATGCTCCTATATAAATTGGACCTCCAGAAATCAAGAATGTATAAATAACAGTACCAAAATAAAATTATATTCCTCTTAATCATAAAAAAGAGGGAATTAGGATAGGCCCAAAAGTATTGAATTAGCATTCTTTGGGTAATTTAGTAGCTGAAATTACTACCAAGAAAGCAATAAAAATAGAACACCCACCAAAGAATAGACACATAGAATACTCAGTTTGGGTGGATAGAGGAAAATCTGGAGAACAAATATAGGTGGAAATTGACAGAGAAGAAGAGTGGCAGTAGCAGCAGCTCTTAGTGATAGATACTACAGACAGTCTTGAGAAGTGAAATGTATGAGATATCTTTCAGTTTGGTTCGCAGATTGAAGTATTGAACCGTCGAAGGGACAAAATTATGGGCAAGTTACTTTAAACACCCTCGTATTACAACTTCAGTTGCACTTGGGTACCTTCAAAGTTCTGTGTGTAAGCGGAGGGAACTAAACAAATAACACACGCACATAAAATAAAATTACTTAACTACGTAGAATAATTTTTTAGCGAAGGCTCCACCGGTGCCCACTCAATAATCTCCTCTCCCATCTCTTTCCTTTTTGTTTATCTGTAAAACGATACAATTAAATTTATATCGTGGTTTATAGATAAATGATTCAATTTGATCTAAAAACGATAGACAAATAAGAACAAAAATAAGATTAGCGACTGAAATTAAAGGAGATAACAAGTCTGATTAAAGTCTTAGACTTTCCGATGACAAGAGTGGATGTAATGTTCAAATATTAAAATTAAGTGTAATATGATAATAGATTATAGCTTTTCGTATACATAATATTTCATGTCCTACAATGGTTGTTAATCCTGCTATTTATAGCCCTATAGGGGGACAAGATCCTCAAATCAAGCCCCTCTTAAAATGAGAATAAAATCGCAATTGATGAGGCATAACGATTGGCTTTAAATGCAGATATTCTCTATAACAGTTGTCCAATGAATGTTACCTATGACAAAGCTTCAAAATCTTTACTATCGGTTGCTTTGTTTTCGAGGCTGGTACGGTGCTGATTGTTCGCTGCTTGCAACTGGTGACAGCTGTTTGCCGACTCATACCCTACCTGTCTTCAGTGCCACGTGTCGCTCTATCATTCGCCCAGCTGTCATCAACTAGTTTTACCCAATACACATTTCCCCTTATAAATTAAAAAAATAAAAGAAATATGTATGTGTAATCATATAAAATAATGTTATGTTACACGTTCCTTTTGTAATTTTTTAATGTAGAAATATTTTTTTTGTATTGACGGTGTGAAAAATATTACATGATTACATATAATAAAAAAACAAATTTATTCTTAACTTACAATTAATAGTATGTAACTTATTATAAGAAGTTAAATTATACTGATACAATTACAAAGAATTAAAGTAATTTTTAAGTACCAGTTGACCAACGTAAATACCATAAACTCCACAGTCAACACTTTCACTCTAGTTTTATTAGTTTTAGATCTCAGTGATAAGTATTATTTTCTGTCTCAATTTATCTGATGGTATTTGAAAGAGTATATAATTTAGAGGGGGAAAAATGCTTAAAACTTGTGGTCTAAACAAGTCATAGATAATTCTGTGGTTATAAATCATATAATTAAATGTAACATGAATATGCTAAAGTTAAATTGATACTAAATATAGAAAGATATTTTTTTTGGACTAACTAAAAAAGAAAGAGTATCACGTAAAGATAGCGCTCCAAAAAGTTTCGAAGTGTTTAAGATCCATTTTAAGGTTATCAGGCGCTAAACGTGTTGTTTTCATGCTAATGAGAACTAATAAATATAATAATACCATTTGGACATGAAAATATATGTGGGACATATGGAACATATTAAGTATGTTTAGAAGTGGGAAAAATAGTTTAGAACAAGTTAGAAATATTAAGTGGAAAAGATATCGAATGTCGCACATAACCTGACTTTGACGAGTATAACTCTCAAGCCATAGAGCTTTTATGTAGTTTTAAATTCTAAATTGTATCCCTTCGAGCCTAGTTTCCGATGTTGCAAATTGTTCATCAATCTGAGCTCTGTACGAAAAGTTATGAGCATCTTACTAAAAGGTATATGATAAGGTATAAAATGCATAGCGCAAAGTACAACTCGCTGTAACAGTTGGGCTGTGTAAAAGCAATGACTGGCAGCCTCATATTTTTGGAAAATTTTGAGTTGAGATTTGGAATAAAGTTAGAGATTGATCTTGAGATTTTTTTTGCTAATTAAGATATTTTTTTTTGAAGTTTTGAGTTAATTACTACTCCTAAATAAAAGTATTAATATCGTATAGCCTTTGAATTCTCTGCAATCTTTTAAGTTGTAGAATACCAAAATTTTCAAACTTTGGGTTTTGTGAAAAATAAATTCACAAAGGTAGTTACAATAACTCAAACTCATTTATCATGAGTATAAAATATTTGTGGCATTTGTTTCAAAATAGTTGAAAGGTTAAATCATGAAACCCTAGTTTATAGCATTCACAGGCTTTAAATGATGAATTATATTGACTCCAAAGAATATTATAATATTATTGTTGGATTAGTTAAAGGTGAATAACTAAGATTCTCCTAAATTGGAGGATTATGTAAACTACTGAGATTGAACCGGTATAAAATAGTTAGATGATCAAATAGTGTTGTTATGAGTTGGTTGTAATGAGAATAAATTCTTGAATGTAGATTGAAATTGTCACGACCCCAAAATTCCATCTTAGGTAGTCGTGATGGCACCTAGTCTCTAAGACTAGGTAAGCCTAACACACATTGAGAATTTAGAAGAAATAACAACTAAGATATTAAATTAACTGAAAAATCTCATGATAACATCAATACGGAATAACAATCACATAATCCTCAAAATCGGTGGAACTGGGTCATAAGCTCTAAAGATATACATTAGGAATCTCTAAATACAACTCTATTTGATATGAAGATAAACAATAGTAGAGGCAATAACAGAAGATGACTTTGAAGCCTACAAACGTGAAACAAGTATACCTTGAAGTCTCCGAAGCGTTTAAATCAGCTCACTGGCGTCCGAAACGGGCAGAAGTACCTCGATTTGCACAAAAATGTACAGAAGCGTAGTATGAGTACACCACAACGGTACCCAGTAAGTATCAAGTCTAACCTCAGTAGAGTAGTGACGAGCCCAGATCAAGACACTTACTAGACTTAGAAATCTGAGCAAAATATTTATATAATCTAATAACGAAAAGTAAAGAATTAAATGACAATAAAGTAGCACAATGATGTAAGGCTAATAACGGATATAAAAGAAATAAAGGACAACGAGAATGAGCATATGATAAGAACAACAAGTAATCAAATACAAGTAAAATAAATGAAGGAATAACAATAGTCGTTCCATCAACAAGCTCTTTCAACATAGAATGTACAACAAGAATCACAACCGAGGCACCAAACCTCATTTTTACATTTCACTAGTCATAATCACAATCTTCCTTATATCAACGCGTGAGCCTTGCATTTATTTTTAAAATATTTTTTCCGAAATGGCTACAGGCATTTTAGCCCCCTTATCTCACCGCGTGGCTTCAAGTAATTCCCTTACTAGCAATACGCGTATAAATCCCATCGTATCTCGCCGCATGCGTTTCAATACCCACCTTATACCACCGTATGCATATCAATATCACAACACAATAATCAACTAGCACCACATCTGCTCATATGCCACAACATTACCAAATCAACAATAATAATATTATCACAACACATAGCCCATAGCTCAAGCACAATGTGTACAAGAATCTCAATAATAACAAAATGAATGAGAAATAACTCAACAGGAAAATATATCTCGGTAACCAACAACTTCAACCTCAATGTATTATTATCTTTCACAATTACAACTTCAACAACTCACAATGAAGATATTACCATGAAATAGCAACTTCCAATTCAAGTGCATAACATAAGCTTAGCAATGAAAGGGATAGCATGAAATAGCAACTACATCTAAATGCATGAGAATAACTCAACAATGGAAAGAATAGAATATAAAAACAACTACAAATAAAGGCACATAAGGGAAACATCGACAATGAAAACTAGCACATGTAATAACAACTCCAAATAAGGCATGTAGGAATAATTTTGACAACAAAAGATAGAACAAACAGTAATAACTTCAATTAAGTGCCTAAAAGTAACCTAAGAGTCTAAACCGATCAAATACCGCATATAAGCTCGTACACACACTCGTCACCTCGTGTACACATCTTTCACACAACTCAAATAGTACAATCAACCCAATTCCTAAGGGGTAGTTCCCCCATACAAAGTTAGACAAGATGCTTACGTCAACTGGGCCAAATCAATACTCAAAAATAGTCTTTTCCTTAAAATGCGCCTCTGTATGGCTCAAATATAACCAAAAAACGACTTAATATCATCAAACAATGCGAGAGAAATCAATTTCGATTAATAAAGCCACGATCTTTACACAATTTTCCAAAAGTTAATCCCGAGTCCGCCCAATCAAAACCCGAGTCCAAGCGTATATTTTGACTACCCGTAACCCCACGAGTCCATATATGTGCTTTATTTTCAAATCCGAGTCCAATTCGACTTTCATATCCCAAATTTTTATTTTTCAAAACATAGACAAAATTTTCCAAAATTTCTCTTTGGTTCTCATAATTTTTTATGTTAAATCTCATATATAATCATGTAATGTAGTTGGATAATTTAGCAAAATCACTTATCCAATGATTGTAGGTGAAAATCTCCTTTCCAAATTGCCTCATACCGAATCTAGGGTTCTAAAATGAGAGAAATGAGATCAAATTCTGACTTTCCAGCCCTTTTATTCAATTGCAGATGTCGCAATTGTGACACTGGGTTCGCAGTTGCGGCAACTGACGGACTTGAGGAATGTCGCAAATGCGACACCGGCTTCATATTTGCGAAGTCTGCTCCTTTCGCAAATGCAACCACTTGATCGCAATTGCGATCCTACCCAGTCCCAGCCTTGCTTCGCAATTGCGAATGAGGCATCGTAATTGAAATACCTTCCCTCCCCCTAATGTTCACTTCACAATTGCGAGGCTGGTGCTCGCAATTGCGATAACTGGAGCACCAGCACACCAACAACCCAAAAATAAGTTCAATCCAATCCGAAACACATCTGAAACTCACCCGAGCCCTCCGGGCTCCAAACTAAAAATTCATACAAACTCGCTCGCATGATCAAAATACCAAAATAATATCTAGAACCACGAATAGGATAACAAAACGCATGAATTTTAAAAGAAAACTCAAGAAACTCTAGAATCACAACCAAGCGTCTGAATCCTATCAAACCAACTCCAAATGATAC